AAAAAAAAAAAAAAAGCTTTACGGGTTGGGCACAATAGCTCATACCTGTAATCCTAACACTCTGGGAGGCCGAGGTGGGTGGATTGCCCTGAGTTCAAGGGTTCGAGACCAGCCTGCGTAAGAGAGAGACTGTCTCAAAAAATAGCAGGGGATTGTAGTGAGCACCTGCAATCCCAGCTACTGAGGAGGCTCAGGGAAGAGGATCACTTAAGCCCAAGATTTTGAGGTTGCTGTGAGCTATGACGCCATGGCACTCTACCAAGGGTGACATTGTGAGACTGCTCAAAAAAAAGCTTCCCAGCCTTGACACAGTGGAGGGCACACTGTCAAATTGAGATGGAATGAATAAGCGGTGGTAAATTAACTTTTGCAGAGCTCACTACCTGTTCAAGTAGGCACTACGGGGACCATTGTTTTGTTGGAAATTTTCTTTCTGTTTTTTATTTGTTTTTGCATTATATGGAAGGTAGGATTTAATGAATCCTGAATTGTTTTGCAGCTCCTAAGATCTATGGTCTTCCAAACTGCATTTTAAATTTCTTTGTTCTTTGCCACAGAACGTTATCCACTGGCCACAATCTCTCTCTCTCTTTCTCTCTCCCTGTCTTTTCCTCCTGTTTTTCCCTCTCTTCTACTGTTCTCTTATCCAGGATGCCAATTTACTACTAAATCTTAGGCTCAGCGCCTATAACTCAGTGGTTAGGGTGCCAGCCACATACACCTAGGCAGGCAGGTTCAAACCCGGCCCGGGCCTGCTAAACAACAATGACAAATACAACCAAAAAAAGCTAGGCCTTGTAGTGGATGCCTGTAGTCCCAGCTACTTGGGAAGCTGAGAGTTTGAGGTTGCTGTGAGCTGCGACATCACAGCACTCTATCGAGGGCAACATAGTGAGACTCTGTCTCAAAAAATTTTAAATAAATAAATCTTAATCTGCAACATATCTGGGTTTTACCCTTTTCATTCACTCTTTCCCGCTTCCCCTGTGCCCTCTTGATCTCCGCCCAGCCCTTCTTTCTTCTTCTTCTTCTTCTTCTTTTTTTTTTTTTTGCAGTTTTGGCCAGGGCCGGGCTTGAACCCACACCTCTGGCATATGGGGTTGGCGCCCTACTCCTAGAGCCACAGGCACCACCCCCTTCTTTCTTCTTTCTCAAACTCACACACTCCTTCTTTTTCTATCTCTCTTTCCTTCGTATACTGCTTCTTTCTCCCTCTCCTTTTTTGATCCCCTTACTTCATTTTCTGTCTTCTCAGCCTCCGACGGTCTCCCCCTCCTTCCCGCTATTTGTCTTACCCTAGTTTGGAAATGCAGCAGACCGCTGAGCCTGCCACCATTGGATGCGAAGGGCTGTCACTCTACGGTAGGAGGAGTTCCTATTGGCCCGGCTGGAGGCGGGTACCGAGCCGAGTATAAAAGATGGGGTCTGAGGCGGTGCGCTGAGCGGCTCTGACAGGACCGGGTCGGAAGGAGTTGCCTGGCAGGAGCTGGACGCGGAGATCTCCGGGTGCGAGATTCAGAGTAGCGGCTCTCTGCGCTAACGGTCCTGTCGTGGTCCGCCGGGCCCCTGCCTCAGAGCCCGGCAACTCTCGGCTGTCGTCCGCGCTGCCCCGAGAGCCCCTCGCTTCACCTGCGCTTGCTGCGCCCGGCGCACCGAGTCTGCCTGCCGCGATGAGCGAGGTGAGCAACGCTGCTGCCCCGGGCGCTCCGGTTAGGGCTGCTGCGGGGAGGGGTCCCAGGGAGCCGCGGAGAATCCTCCAGTAGCTCCCTATTGTCCCCCTGGAAAAAGCTCTCACCTCGGGGCGCTGAGAAGAGATTGGAAGAGAGGGTATTTTAAGTCTCGCTACTATGGAGGGTGCTTTGGGGTGACTGGAATAGGCTGAGGTGGGAACGGGAGGGGGTGGGGGCACTGAGCTCTCAGGTGATAAGTCATTTCCTCAGGGTACTGTCCTCTGCATTCGTCTTACTGCCCTGAGGCTATTCTGCCTTCCTTTACTCCCCTCATTTAGCTTCCATCCTCCCTCTCCTAGGGCTGTATTGATTTGCTCTTGCGCTTCTGATGTAGCATCCAAGAACTCCATCCCTGGCCCCCTGGGGTGGCCACTTTTCTTCCTTCTAGAAAGGTGGCATCCTGTGCTCCATTCGCGCCGTCACCAGAGTTGGAGAGATCATTTCTAATATTCAGAAGCCTCTGTAGTGGAGGCATGTCCAGCTCCAGGGGAGATAGATGTCCCTTTCAGGAGTACACTTCCCTCTGCAGTGCTTGTTATATCCCAGGTCTTCCAGCAGGCTCCGTGGTGTTCAATGGAGCCAGACCCAGTCCATTAACTGATTTACTCTTTCCAGAGAACACTGTCTGTGGGTGGGAGTCAAAGCAGAGACTTTTGGAAAGACCTCTCTCACTGTCTCACTGTATTTGTAAGCATAGTCTTATACCAGAGGCAAGAGTCTCCCTTCCCAGGTGAAGTCAGTCTGCATAGTGGCATCACAAGCCTGCTCTCTGCAGCCTTTTTCCTAGTATCCAGGTCCTTGTGTTAAATCCAGTTTCTTGACTATAGGCCAGACCCCAGCTCTACTATTTACTTGCATTAGCCTTAGGCAAATTATTATACAAACCCCTTCTATGCTTTACCTCTTTGTCTGTTAAAATGGGGATTATATTGGTTTTTTTAATGATTAAATGAGATAATATATGCAAAGTACTTCAAATAATACCTGGGACAGAGTAGGCAGTCAATCTGTGTTAGCTATTATTTTAACCCTATTTTTTTTTTTTTTTTGTTAGAGTATTACAGAAACCTAGCATAAGAATTCTCAAGGACATCAGGTTAGTGAAGGAATTGGACCCTTGAGCATGGGTCCCAGTTTAAGTACTTAAAATGAAAATCTTCTTCTTCTTCTTCTT